AGCGCGCGCACATCGTGGGCTCAAATCGAACGTTCAAAAGTAGGCAACCACCTTAATGAGCTACCTAATAATCCTACTAATGGTCTATCACAAATCCTGCATTCTGATTGGTTAAGATACTAGTGGTCTATTAATGATAGTGAACAAATTCTCCCGTATAGCAAATATAGGGGAGTACCCCCCGGGGAACATGCCAAAGCCATGATGCATAAAATGTGCACAGGAAGGGAAAACTGCAATGCACATGAAATTAGCATAATTGCTTGTCTTCCCATGCTCCACTTCGGTCTTAGCTTTGATGATATAACCTTTTTTTGGACCCGACAACGTTTTTTCAATTAGGTGCATACACAAAAGGGTCAAGTTTATGCAAACGGCAGTAGGTATATATATATATATATATGGATTTTCTGTTTATATATCTAATTGTTGAAGGTGGAGAATAAATCCTGGGAATAAGTTGTGGCAAGATTTTAGAGATCTTTTATGTGATTGGACCCAGGAATACCTTCACAACTGAAACCCCTATAACTTATTTAAACACATCCCAGCAAGAAAGCTGGCAAAAGACATCTGTTTTTTCCCCCCACATCATCCACAGGTAAAAAGCAACATGCTTTATTTTTACACAACAAACAGCCCAACCAAACCAACAGCCCAACAGTTTGGGTTTGTTGGGCTGTTGGGCTGTTGGGCTGTTGGGCTGTTGGGCTGTTGGGCTGTTAGGCTGTTGGGTTTATTGGGCTGTTGGGTTTGTTGGGCTGTTGGGCGGTTTGATGTTTGCTGTGTTGGGTCGTTGGGTCCAACGACAAACCCAACACAAAACTCGGATCCCTAAATCGTGACCCATATGGCGTTGTTCTACAAAGAGTACTGACAACTGCATATCACTATGACGTCACATCAAAACAATGTATTGTTTAAACGCAAAAGATCATGGTCGTCGGAGGGGGTCAAATTAATGCAAATTCACCGAAAATTGTTCTAAAACCCGTATCAATCCACAAAGAGAAGTAGAATAGCCAGCAAATGCGCAGAATAATTTTTAGTACATATTAACACATATCATATCTGAAAACTAGGCCATTTTGGATTAAAATGTTTCGCTAGGAGCAAATTTTGTTGAATTTTCTATTGGATTTGGTGATTCTATCCCCCACATAGTGCAGTTTTCGTATGACCGTGAAAAGATCAAGGCATGAACACCGTCGTGACAAAGCAAACGATACGCCAGACCAATCACATTGCACAAAAATTTACTCTCCATCCAATCAAATACCCGGAACATGGCATAAACACTGCGCGGACACAGTCACGGCAATGCTAGAACAATCACATTGCGCGTGAAAAAAATCAGCCAATTAAAATCCTAGAAAGCACCACGTACGGTCACAGCACGTCACCCTTACAGCACTGAGCTTTTCACAGTCATGCGAAAACTGCTTTTAACAAGCAGTGAGGTCATAGTGAAATAGGGCAAGACTTTATATGTTAGTTATCTAAATCCTTTCTTGCCCCCCAATCCAACGCACATGCAGCCTTAACTCTTATACTCCTAATTTAAGTTACAAATTCTACAAACTCTACCTTAAAAAGTTGGTATTACTGTCCATGGCAACATACTTCCCATTCCATGCAAATCCCTGTGGTAATGAGACTGCCGACGAAGTTTTGTTCCACATATCAAGTCCTTCACTGTGCATATTATTTCTTGTCTTTACTTGGATTGTGTTTCTTAAAATTAATTCCTTTAAATCATCTCTTGTCTTAGTCATATCGTTACAATTATTTTCCAATATATAGGACACTACTTCGTTTACAAGTTTGTCCACATTAGCCATTTGCACATAGCGTTTTGTAGCCGGCTTGTGGTTGTCGTCATGAAGCAATTTGGTAGCTTTGTTGGTCACCCATTTTCTTTCAAACTCAGTGAAAATAGATCTATTTTCGGGTTCAAACATGGAAAATTCAACCCCATTAACTCTCTCTTTGTATATCACAACGTCTCTCCACCAAAGTTGCCTCAGAYTTCTCCTGAGTTCTGAACCAAGTGGCCCATACTCATAAACCGAATAGGATCCCTTTGTACTTTCTACGGTGCGCTCAATAATAAATTTATGACGTGAAGCTAGAGCCAAAAGCTTATTTAAATGAATGTTAAGCTTACTCATCTCGACAAGTCCTTGCAATTGAAAATTTATGTATTTTCGTTAACTTTCTATTTCTCGTTCGGGTATCTTCTTGACTGTTTTACCACAGGAAACCCACTGCTGAGTCATGTGATCAACGTTTGAATCCAGAGAACCAATAGTATCGCAGTTTTTCAAAGATATCAACCAATCAAATGTGTTTTTCTCTCACGCGCTCTTTTCGAGTTCATTTTGAAAAAAAATTATCACAGACAAGACTCGCTTTTCCCCTGGATTTATCCAACAAACTACGTGATGTTTATCTGGCTATAAATATTCAAATCCTTTTTTTTTAGATTTCGATTCCTTCACGAGCTTAACGATATGGATTCATCAGACCTCGAGGTGGCAGCAATACAGAGGAACGGTAACAAGCCTGAAGACTGGTTGGCTTACATTAATAGATTAAAACGAGAATCAGCCAACTATCATCACATTGTTGAATTATATGGCAAGGCTGCTAGTCTTATCTCTCCTGATGAAAACAAGAAGAACATTAGCTATGCTAGGCTTTTGGTTGAGTTTGCCAAACTCCAAAGGTAAGATTCTCTAGCCATATAGACTAGGTTGATTCTGGATATCATCAAAACAGGATTCAATAAATGTTTTATTGTGCATTTTGTAAACTAAGAATAAAGATTTACTTTTGCTTTCAAAGAAATAGCAAACGTATTTCAATCTCTATTATGACCTTGAATGAACTTGACATGATTATTATTGCAATATCTGCAGGAAAACCTACAAATATTACATTTATCATGTCGAGTTCAACATTAATCATGGATTGACTGAGGGCTTTCAGCCAATGAGAAGTGAGATAGTGAGTAGAATGTATAATAATAATTTCTTAACTTCTTCACTTTTTTAGCATGTCCTCGCCCGATGATGCGAGAGATACTTTCCAGGTTGCGAGATGTAATGTTAAGAAGTTTGCAATCGTATATTTAGCATGGGCTCAGCTTGAGCTGTCACAAGGTAAGATATGTTTAACAAATTTCCGATGGAATTGCATATGTCCTCTTTATATTTACCACCATATGACGTGGTCGAAATGTTATGTATTCATGCATGTAGACTTGCTCTAATTGTTTCTGTTGCAAACATGGATTTATATAATGCACTTCCTGTTACGATTGCTTTCCAAGGGGACAAAGGAAATGAGAAGACAAGCGAGATTCATAAAACTCGGCACCAATTGAGGCTTCAATTGAAATCGTAGCCAAAAGTGCACTGAGCAAGTCTATTACTCATGAGCATTGCCTTCAAATGATAAATTTTTCAATAGAGCAGGTCCCAGTTGTGCAAAGGGTGGATAACACTGTCAACTGATGGATAAATCTTATCCAGAAGATAAATTTAATCTTGGGGTGAATATTATGTCATAGCTGGCATGTTGGTTGAAGATAAAGCATTCCACGATCAACATAGCAGCTGTTTTATTGTCATATCTCAAGGGATTTTGAGTCATGTGGACTTGCACCCCAAGAGTTGGCTAACAGCATCAGCTTATCCACTGGATAAGGATTTATCTGTCTCATAGCAGTACTATCCACCATTAGAACGAGTGGACCCTGATTATAACTTTTTGAAAAGAACACTAACTAAAAATACCTTGTTTTCACACTGAGTCTGCAATCGTTGCATTTGGGTCAGTTTTTATACATTTATTGTCATTAACTCAAATTAAATGGTTTTGACTATGTAAAATTATGAGTTTACCTTAGTGTAAGAACCTCATAACTGAAGTCACATTTGAACTAAATGTGTGCAGCTACATGTACGTGGCTACATGGTGATCTAAGTAATACTTCCCATGCTACTATAGGGCTATTAGGGCGTTTTGAAGTATTTCCAGGTCCAATCACACAAAAGATAGCTAAAATCTTGCTACAGCTTATTACCAGGATTTTTTCTCTTCCTTTAAAATTTAGTTAATTATATAAACAGTTAAATGAAGTAAAGACTCAGAAAAATGTCTGTAGTCAGAAGTTGTTTTTCATTCAAATTACATCACACTTAACAGCTCTACAACAAGTGGCTACATGGCTATGCAGTGAACTAATAATAATAATATTAATTAGATCATTATGCAACCACTATACTTAGGAGCTTTAAGGATATAATGAATTATTTAAATCATCAAGCAGCAGCATTAAACCCAGTCAATAATTAGAAAACAGCGTAGCCACATTGCTGAACTTACACTTGGGTGCTATCAGTAGTTATATAGGTACAAACGTACACTGAGGATTATAGCCTAAAATATGATATAGTGTTGAATTTCAAAGAATAGAGCTCAAAATAGCTAAGCTGAGATATAGCTGGCTAATACTCATCTAGTTTAACCGTTTTTAAATTGATGTACTGTATTTAGTTAACATTTTTCTTTAGGCAATCGAGGGAAGTGTAAAAGCCTTCTGAATAAGGGACGAAAGAATGCAGCAGAACCTATAGACATATTAAATCAAGCACTTCATAACTGTGAACAAGGGAATGAAAGGCTATTGGATGATGAGACTGAAGAGTTGGCTTTCACTGGAGTCCTGAGTGAAGCTGGGAAATCTAGATTGAAACTCGTAATCCCAACTCTACAGAGTGACAGTGAATTGACACAAGAAAAGTTGATGGCAGGTATGTGCCTGGACACATTGTTAATATATCAATTCAAGAGTCTGTTTAAATCCAATCTCAAGAAGCATTAAATATATTTCAAAAAAACTTATGAATAATTCATAAGCCTTTGGTCCAATTGGAGTCACCATACACGTCACGTGCATGGACCTTTATACCCAAAAAAAGTCCTCTTCATCAGTATTCTTTATATAAAGAATACTAATGTGGACAACCTTATCAGAATAAAGGTGCATCCAAGTTTAGATGAAGACTTAGAGCCTCATCAAGGTCAGTCTCACGTACGATCATTGATGAACCATAAATTATCATCAACTAGTGCCCCTGTCTTGAGTTCGGCATGTTGTCTTCAACTTGTGGGAGCCTTTTTTGCACTTACTGCGCATGGCAGTGAAGTAAAAACCTCACTGCGCATGAAATTGCTGTACAAACGACTATCAAAGTATAAAAGTCGATGTTTGCGAGGTATATGGTTGCTCTACTTCAACTAAAAGGTTTGTGAATTATACTTAAAGTTTTTGAAGCCGATTAATAAACTCGCAGATCATGTTTTATCGGGTCTAAAACCGATAAAACACTCCTGCTCGTTTATTAAACACTACATATATATAGTTTAATATTTCAAAATAGCTTAATATATCTATTGGTAAAGGTTTTGTTGCATGTTGCATACCAAACCTGAATTTATTCTTTTTAAGGCTTTAATCACATATGAAATATTATTTTGTTAACAACACTGTGATTAGGCTCACAGAATCAGAGCATGGCTTTAAATATAATGATGGAAACATTCTACTATTAATCATATAATGGGCAATGTGAATACCATCAGCCAAAGCTGGCCACAACAATATGAAATATTCTTAAATTTTGTCTGTATGTTTTGTGGTAAGTGCTGTGCTTATATTATTTCATATGAATAAATTTAAAGCTAAATTATCAACAGGCAAGATGCAGCATGCAACATGCCACAAAACCATTACAAACGTTTTTGAAATAACTGTATAATTTATTATATTATTTATCATAATAATACAGTCATGATGTGAAAGTAAAGATTTTTGTTATTAAATCTCACACTATAATCTAGTAGTAAGTGAAAAAATGTAATCTAATCTGTGATTAGTACACAGAAATGTTTGAATACAGATCAAGTGGTATGTTTCCAGATGCCATGCAATATATTTCAATTATATTTAAGGTACTGACAATTCTACTGGAAACCAAGTGCTGGCTGTTCAAGGTTCTGAGTGTAGTGAAGGACTGTTGGTCTCCTCTAAGCAAGATAATAGTGGAGTTATCTCTTTTAAGCTTTCTGAAAATAGTGAAAGGTTACATCCCAGGATAAGGCAGAAGCTGAGTAGTAGCAGTAGCAGCAGTGGAGAAGACACAGTCACAGCACCACTTCACCATATATGTAGACCAGCCAACATCAAAAGCATGTCTACTTGCAAACCATCTACATGTATAAAAGCTACACCAGACTGGAAAACAGGTTAGTACGACAGCCATAGTCTTTTACAGTTAGCTAAGCCCTTTTTATTTCATGTGTGAAACAAAACATCTGGAGATAATCTTAAATTAATAACAGTAACTATGCTAGCTCAGTTGAGTTTTGTAGGACAGAATTTTTGTCATGAAGTATTGTTAGTGAAATGTGCATGTTGCTAGGGGCAACATCACTGATAATCATCATGCCCATGCTTTATTGCTGAAGAAGACTATGAACATGTATAACGGATGTATTCACATACATTTATGTAAATGCTTTTTGTTGTCAAATGAGTTTGTAGTACACACCTTATCTGGTAAAACCAGCCAGCTGCACATTGAAATGCGTCAGTTTAATGTACCAAAGCCTGTGCAGAGAATGATGAAAACTATCACCAATACTTTTGCATATTGAGCTGCAGATACTTTTGAGGTTGCCTCCGACATTAACATGCACATTTCAGTGACAAAACTTGTGTTAAACCAAACTCAACTGAGAAGCTTAGTATAGGCAAAATGGCTATCATTATTAAAGTTGTCACAAAACAGGCTTTCATTCCATAAAAATTCATTCGATACTTAGAAAAAAACAAAATGTACAACCTAAACAGCATGTTTTGAATTCTTGGTATTATGATTTCAATTAGATTTATTGCAGAAGTTCTTTTTCTGTTGAATGATAAAATAATAATAATAATAATAATAAACTCTTTATTTACTGAGGGTAGCACTAAATAGCAATATGCTAACAAACCTGTGGCCCTCAAAAAACAGAAAAAACAGAATTGTAATGGTTTTTTGTTATTGGTAATTTTCAGTTGACAGCAGCAGTTTGTCAAACAGTATGGACTTGTCTGTGCGCAAGTCATCAGCTCGTCGTGGGCTCAAAAACAATTCTTTGTTTTTGGGGCCCCCAATGAGAGGCAGGCATGTATCTTCACTGGAGGATGTCGAAGAAAGAAATTTTGAAGGAGAAGAGCAAATTGAGGTTGATTACATGGATGACATTAAGGTTCTTGACTACACTTCTTCACTTCTAGTTCAAGATAAAGTTCTTTCTGAAAGCAAAAGAGATCCTGTAGTGAATATTGGGAACAACGAAAACACTTTGTCACAAGTCAGTCTAGAGAAAAATAAACCAGATTTCAGATCTACGGTCTTAACACTCCATGATGATTTTGCCAAGTCTGCTCTGCGCAATGAATGCCATGACAACTATTCTGATATTGAAAATCAAGATCCATCAAAAAATAAACTGGATCAGAATAAAGTAAGCATCAAGCAAGTGCCTCATTGTCAAGCCGTACATGGCAAACATGTAGACCTTCATAGCCAGGAAAGAACCAACTATGATGAGAGATATTCAAAGCAAACAATGCATCAAAATCTTGAATATCCTAACCAAGAAGGAGTTAATTATCAGGACTTTGCAAAAAGAGAGGTGACTGTCAACCAAGTATTTCCTCAAGTTCACACAGCAATAGACAAAACATCCATCTTTGTTAATGGCAAACCCTACCTAAAACTTGGCACTATTGGTAGGGGAGGCTCTAGTAAGGTAAGAAAAATTTCCTTTCATTTTGAATTCCATGATAAATATGTAATTTACCTCTTTACTAAGCTGTAAGTAGTCCCTTGCATTGGTCACCGTATTTACATGTGATGGAAAAAATGATTAGAGCCATTTGTCTAGGGAATAGAGTTGGTTTAGATTCTAAAGATATTTATAGGCAGTTGAATGTTAAAGAAGGCAATTCATTCCTGGAATTTTCTGTTTATGCGCTCAATAGAATTGATAGAAAATAATTCTGCCATATATTTTTCAGGTTTTTCGTGCGTTTGATGGCCAACATGTTTGTGCAGTAAAGTATGTGTCCTTGGAAGACGCAGATGATGTCATAATACAAAGTTACATCAACGAGATATCCATGTTGAAAAGACTGCAAGGAAGTGATCATATTATTAGATTATATGATTGGTAAGTTATCATCGCCAGCAAACGCTCAGAATATTTTTTAGTACATATTAACACATATTATATCTGAAAACCAGGCCATTTTAGATTAAACTGTTTCGATAGGAGCAAATTTAGTTGAATTTCTATTGGATTTGGCGATTCTATCCCCCACATAAACAAGCAGTGACGTCATAGTGAAATACTAGGGCAATTGAGTTTGTTTGATTCGTAATGTTCTCTCCCTATCTACAAGGGTTTTCTCCAGTTTCCTTCCTCCATAAAAATCAACATGAATGTAGTGGTAATGTTTGTGAGTGAAAAGTGATTTCAATTAGTGCAAAAGTGCAAGAAAGACTATACCTACTGTACAGCAATCACTGCTACTGGTGCTACTAAGTAATAAGGAAAACAGTACAACAACAAAAGCAATGATATTTGTATACAGTATGTATGCAATCACATATATCTCAGTTTAAAGCCCACATCTACATAGTATTTTAGACATCCCCATAATAATACTGCTGATAGATTACTGAGGTGAATTATTTTTGTTTCCAGGGAAAAAAAGAAAAATGAAAATAGCATAGTCTTAGTGCTTGAATGTGGTAGCATTGATTTAGCCGCATTCCTTCGCAAGAACCRCAGCTCATTTACTCAAACAGAACTGACTGCTCACTGGAAACAAATGTTGGAGGCTGTTAATGTTATTCACAGCCAAGGAATTATTCACAGTGATCTCAAGCCTGCAAATTTCCTATTTGTGGAAGGAAGGTTAAAGCTTATCGATTTTGGTATTGCAATCACTATTCAGGTAAATTTCTTATGTATAGACTTCCAAGGGGATTTACATCTTGAGATGGGCACTATATACCACTGTGTGTGCTGTGCTGTGCTGTGCTGTGCTGTGCTGTGCTGTGCTGTGCTGTGNNNCTGTGCTGTGCTGTGCTGTGCTGTGCTGTGCTGTGCTGTGCTGTACTGTACTGTGCTGTACTGTTATAGCTTAAGATGGCTCTATACAGCTTTATGGTGCCTGTAACTTAAAGAATTTTTATTTTCATGTCACGAAAAAGTATCTTTGATGTGATTGGCTTATCAGGTATCAGCATATCAACCATAACATTCCTCATCCATTATTCTTTTCTATAAATACAAGTAAGCCTATGGAGCCTTCTTAAACCAAAAGACAACAAAATTATTCAGTACATGAGAATGCCCTCACCTGGTGAAAATCCTGGACAGGATCCACGTGGTATTACATCCTAGAGAACGTCGGACAGGATCCTGCACATATCCTGGAGTATTCTTGTCATATTCTGCAGGGTCCTATATAGACACATCCTGTAGGACCCTATATAGACTAATCCTCTAGGGCCCTATATAGACTCATCCAGTTGAGTCCTATATAGACTCATCCTTTAGGGTTCTATATAGACTCATCCTTTAGGGTCCTGCATGTACCAAAAAAAGTTTGGTTTTAGTGGCCTGTCAATCAGAACTTTTCAACTGCATTTCTAAATCTGACATGAAACTCAAAAAAATCTACTTATTACTGTCAATGGACACATTACTGTCATGCGACATTCTATACAGGAACCTGTTCCTACTCAGGATCTTGTACATAATTTTATTCCTATGTACAATCCTAAAGGATCTTACAGAATCCTGTCAGTGTATGATTTGTATCAGGGTGAGATGGCAAATTCAGACAATCCAGAAGCCCCCTTACTATAACCTGTTCACGACTGAACAATAAGTATTATTTCACACCTTTCTATCCTTTTAATTCACACCAACTATAATTGTCCCTTCTCAAAGTTGTCTTGAATGAGGCAGAACTGAAAATGGCATCATTTACCCATTAACTAAAGTCAAATTTGGAAAATAAAGAGGATATTTTTTAAAGGCTGATCAAACAAGTATACAGCGAGACACCCAAGTTGGTACTCTCAATTTCATGTCACCAGAAGCCTTCCAAGACATCTCTGGCTCATCCCAAACCAACCCAACAACAGGAAGGTCAAGACCATGCACTAAGGTGATTTAGGCTTTGATGTTTCGATATCGTTACATTGATACTCTATAACCGTGAACACCTGAGTTTATTTTATTCTATTTTTATTTGTGTAAATATACTTTTATTTTTTCTTTCTCTTTCATCATTTCATCTCCTTGAATAGCTTTTATAGACTTTCAATACATGGAACTCGAATTCTATTGTCTTTGATTCGTAATCTGATTGGTTGACAAACTCGAGTGTTATATGGTTAGAGTAGAACGACAGTAAAGCATCAGAGTGAAACGCCGATACCTGTTTAAAAGCTGTACAGCTTTGACGTATTTCCGGGTCCAGCTTTTCACAAAAAACGCTAAAAAAAGCGTTGGATAGTTCTCTCAGTTATTTAACCTCCACCTGAAATAATTAGGACTTTGGACAACAAATTCTCTCATGAAAAATATGTAAGAGGAATCTTTATAGAATTGCTTTTCGTTTTGGACCCGGAAGTCGTTTTTCCAAAAAAAAAAGGTATCACACTTAAAAGTTCTACAAACCTTTCCCGAATTAATTTGACTGGGGGACAAAACAAAAGTCTTTTCTTATGCAAATAAATATCCATTGTTTTGTCCCCCAGAACAATCCCTCTCGGGACTCAGTGCAAGGAGTCTAGCAATTGAAGCTCGTCAAAAAGGTGTTAAAACAAATTCAAAAACTAGTAGAAGTGTTCACGGCAATTGGTGTTATTAATATTCCAGATTGGTCGGCCAAGTGATGTTTGGTCTTTGGGATGTATACTTTATAATATGGTTTATGGACGTACACCTTTTCAACATATTACTAACCAAGCTATGAAACTACAATGCATCATGGATGAAAACTATGCAATAGAATTTCCACCTGTGGACAACCAGCAGCTCCTTGATGTTCTTAAGGTAGTTAGCAAGATATTCGTATTTGAACCAATAGACTTTATTGCAATTCCTAATTACCGCTTTGCTCCTTTATCACAGACTCGTTTAGTCAGAATTAGCCTCGCATCAGTGTCTAAACTATATCCACAAATATCAAAAGTGAAGAATGTACACCTTTAACAATACAAACACATTGAAATTCCACGGCCTTCATTGGAACACGTGAATATTCTATACAAAGTCGAGGCCAACCCTGAGCAACAGAGTACGTGAAACTGAAGTATTCAACTTTGTCTTTTTAGGGCTGTTTAATTCGTAATCCTCGAGAGCGTTACACTATTCCACAGTTGCTAAAGCATCGTTTCTTGTCACTAGGAAAACAAGGTTAGAATGAAAATGACCTTTTTATCAAGGCTGGTTTAAGGGTAGTCTTCCACGCATCCGTTTTTAGTGTCGGTCGTCACGCAACGCTGGGGAGGGGCGTTGCGTGACGACCGATACTAAAAACGGATGTGAGGGAGACTAGTTTAAGGTTTTTTTTTATGAACCTTTTTTGATGTCTCTGCCACAGACACTTTCAAGAGTCTCTTTGGCTTTGTCTCTTTTACTTCTATGTGTATATTGCATAGGAGATCGTATTTTATGTTCCTTAAATCAATGACATCATTTTGAATCATTTCATCAGACCCTAATGAGGAACAACTGTTCAACTGCTTATTGGAGTTGGCACAAGCTCAAGTCAATTCACCTCGTTCAATTCGCGTTGCAAGTAAAGTAAGTTGTTATCATCTATCCTTAGTATAGCAGATCGTTCAAGTCCTGATGTAAAAAGGCTTTAAGACGACAGCGCACGCTCGTACTTTCTCAGTACTTTTTAGCTCAGGAGTGTATCCAGTAATTTCTTTGGAGCGGAAGACACTGACTCTCAATCATCTTTATTGTTCCACTTCAGTGCGCTTACCTTTGAAGTCTCTTTTTCCCCCACGCAACTTTTCGCCCAATATCTCTACGATAACAATGTCATCTTTTTTTGTAGAGTATCTGTGAGCAATTGAGATCAGGAAATAAGATTGATTTATCATCAGTACTAGCAAGAAAACAACATTTACAGCAATCAATGGCTTTTCGCAAACCGCTGGAGGGTCTAGATGTCCAGGAATTACCACAGTCGCACAACTCAATGGATACATCAGCAAGCTCGTTTGCTGCATCTAATCTGAGAAATGCCATGCTGTATTCCAATAAGGTAAGCACATTTCATCAATGTCAGGACGAATTATTTTCTTTTATTTATTGAATGTACTAAATTAGTTATATTCATTCATAAATGCGCTTCTTCATCAATTTACCAATGCAGTTATATTCCTCATTTCAGGACAACTTTTGAGACCTTCCCCGCCACGAAAAAGTCTGAACTCTAAGCTACTTTGAGCAAGACTTTAAATTGCTTCACCTCAGGAATCAGGAACAGAAAATCTGATTCACTAGTCAATAGTCCCTTTTCTTATTCAGTAAAAAGCGTCATGTTGGCACAGGCTTAGCCTCGCTTAAGAGCAAATCATTTGCAAAAGTCATTTGTAATGTAAAAAAAAATGTGCAGCTTGAACAATACCAAAGTTTTGAACTGAGATCTCACGGACTTTTAGTGTTTTTTTGTGAATAGTTGACTTATAAACGGGGCTAATCCTGTGCAAATGAGTATTTGGTCTCAAAAAATAGCGTTATATATACATGCGAAACTGATGTAGTGAAACCCCCGTCCCACGAACTGGGCGGGGAATTAACGAAACCGCAAGAATGGGGATTCAACCGCGCACATTTAACAGCGTGAATGCATGGGTGTACAGGATATTTACGCGTACTTCAACAGTTTGACAATATTAATAGCAGCAACTTCAATGTTTTTAACAGTAATTTTTTTCCTCTGAGACCGGGGGAAAGTGTTAACACTACGTGAGTGAATGTTGAATTCCCCACCCTGTCCTAGTGGGGGGTCTGGGGGGGGGGGGGTAATGACTAGTGCAGAATGCGTTAGAGAAAATATCGAAACGCAGTGCATTAAAAAAACAATAACTAATGGAATAATAATATTAAAAAATAATAAATAGAAATTAAATATAGAAATAAAGCATGTGTAAAAACATCAAATGGAAGCTGTATAGCACTAATATTAGTTTTGCCCGGTGATATACAGTCCTTTGACTAAAGGTTGTCGTTGATCGGATCATCCCTACGCGCCTAGACCGAAAAGGATAACGGATAAATTACCCAGAACATGCGTCATCCAAACTGCTCGCCAGTTTAAATCTTCGCCGTATGCTCGAGGCATGGTTTTAACAAATTAAATAGGATCGAAAACAGCGAGCTCAAGACGTGTTAGATAACATATATGCGGCAGCTAGTAACTGTGAATTAATTATCCCCTTGATCCTTTTCTGTCTAGGCGCGTAGGGATGAAGCCGATTATGGTGGTTTCGGTGCAGATATTGTGGTTTGAAGAACCGAAGATTGTTATGTACCTTGGCGAATTTATCGAGAAAATGGATTCTGGAGGGATTTTAGCGAGAGCTTGAATTTTAGGATGATTTCCAGCCGATTTTAGTAGTATCTCAGCATGGAAACATCTTAAAATCACCTATATTCCAATTGTATTTCAATGTATTGCCATAAAATCAGCAGTTCATTAGCTGTAGATATGCTTCGGCTAGAACACTATACTGCGTAATCCGTACACCCAAGGGCAGAGGGACTTAATCGCCGTCATGTCCGAAGTCCATACGATGACCCAGCGGATGTCTCGGGGTATGGCATGAAGGCACTGTTTTTAATCTTCTGTATTTTGGAATAATTATGAAATTAAAGTTGGTGGACGTGGGTTCGATTCCCACCGTACTAAGATTGCTTTTTTCTTTTTCTTCTTCCTTTCACAGTCTAGCCTTAGATCTTTTTTATATTTATTTACTTAATTTATAAGTCTTAGCGATCTCCGCAGCACCGCAACAAAAAATAATTTTTAAACTAATTTCTCTCAAGGTTACAGCTAAGTGCCTTCATTTTCATTTTCATTTTCACATTACTGCTCACTTCCTGTAATGTGTTTGTATCGGGTTCCCTGTGTTATTTCACAAAATGACATCAATTCTTCATGACGATTCGTCTCATTTCGTGTGTATTGGACAACCTTCCAAACCTCGGCAGGAGAAGTTCAAGTCACTCAGCCTACGGCGTCGGGACTTCAACAAAACCTCCCTCTGCTTTTAATCACTGATCTCCCGAAATGTAATGTCAATAATTTGTAATATGAATACCGAGAAAGGTAAACTAAAACATAGTTGACTTTGGTTAACCTACATTGTAATGAATTACATTCTTTTTTCAGTCTTGATTA